CCAACAATGCTCACGTCCTCGAGCATATTCAACGGCTTTATCGAATGACAGAACTTCTCGATTGGCAATGAAATCATGGATTTCGTGTCGTAGTCCCTCCATGAATAGCTGAATTTTCTCGTCTTCAGTTGGAATATACTTTGTAGCAAACCTTGCTCTTTGATTAAACTGAGTTTCATAATCATTCACAGTCATTCCTCCTTGTTTAAGATCAAGGAATTCCTTCTCCAATCACCTCCTCATGTCTAGAGGACAATACTTCTCTAGCAAACGAGTTTTAAACATTTCCCAGGCTAAATTCTCCTGGTCAAACCCGTTGAGAGCTTCATATGTTGCTTCCCACCAGACCAAGGCTTCTCCGATGAGCATTGTAGAAGCATAATTAGCCTTATCTTCATTATCCACACGAGAAATACGAAACACTATCTCTGTGTTTAGGATCCAAGTAAGAACAATAATGAGATTGAGAACACCGGAAAACTATGTAGCACCACTACTCTTGAAATCTTTGAACGAGGGACGCTTCACCTCTCCTTTTGAAGATTCTCCAGTGGCTTTCTCTTTTCCCTTGTCGTCATTCTTTTTGTGTTCTTCGAGAGTTTGTCGAATAACACCTGTAAGTTTACCCAAGAGTCGCTCCTCACGAGGAGATACTTGAGTATTCACTTCATCGGGTTGAGGACCTCCACCAACCTCAGGGGTATGGCTACTAACTTGTTCAGCCATTGCTCTGCAATACGGAGTAACATTGTATTTTAGGATATTAGGGTTTATTATTACCTAATACTTTTACTTATATATATATTTCCTATGGTTTGTATCCCTATACTTACAATGATTAAGTTCTTATATTAAACTTCCAATAGTTTAAGTCTAAATACCAATCCGTGGAATGTAGTTTACTCAAACTACTGCTCTGATACCATGATTGAAAGACCCTCACTTTCGTATTTATGAAGACCCTAACTTTCATACTTGACAATATAGTTACTCCAAAACATGCTACTTGCATATTCATAAAAACAATATTTTACATTGATAAAGAGGTTACAAACTACTTGATACAAACCGACTATTTTAAAGTGTTATATATTACATAACCTCCCAGGATTCTATAGTTTTATACATATGGGAGTGCAAAATACAATAGTTTCAAATTATTCATAAGCTTCTATCGATACAATAGTTTCAAACTATTCAAAAATCTTCTACCAGTATATAACTATACTGGATGTTTATCTCCTATAATTTGTTAAACATTGAGAGGGTAAGCGGTGACGCTTAGTGAGTTCAATAATAGATACAATATAACGTTATGCCATATATATACTTCAATATGGCAGAAGCAAAGGGGAACAAGGAACAACAAGGGAATATGTGAATCATGTGACAAACTTTCCATATCAATCATTGATTTGATTTAAAGATATACAATCAATGAGACATAACAATTTCCATACTTGATATACATCAATAAAGCTTTGGCTCAAATGGCACAGAAGACATACAACTTCGGATTAACATTTTGGTAGATTCCAGGCTTATAGCCCTGTCTAACCTTCTGCCAATACCATAGAATAGAAATCATTCTCTTACGGAGACATGTTCTACATGGCCAGAGGCTACATACCAGTACCAACATGAATCTAAGTTCTTTCACTGATCACATGGTCAAAGGTATTTCTTTGCTATTAAAAGTAGCGAATAAAAATAACCCGGAATAATAACCCTGAAAAGCACATAGCACATATAACACACGTAGCTAAAATTATGCTCTACAACTTTCGTTTAGACTTCGTCGGCTAATTTTGAATTTAATTTTAATATTATTATTTTTAACAGACCGGGACAGAAAAATCTGTTAAAATTCATAACTTCTTTATCCGACATCCGTTTTCGTTAGACTTTTTACCGTTGTACTACTATTGACGAGACCTTCAATTCTCGTTTAGGTTGTGTCGGCTAAATATCGCTCGATCTTTATTTCGAGTTTTTAGCTGTCTACTGCTATTCCGAAACTTAGAAAAATTATAACTTCCCCATACGAAGTCAGATTTAAAAGTTCTTTACATGAAAATTTATTAATTTCACAAATTCTACAACTTTCATTTTGATCACTAAGGCTAAAAAGTAGTTTATTGAAACTCACTTTTTACGCGACACAGTGTTTGTCGGTTTTATCGCGGATCTTCGATTGGTCATAACTTCTTCGTTATAACTCGGATTTCGACGAGGTTTTCGCCTACAAGTTTCTAACGAAATTATCGACAAATTTAAATAATATAATATTTACTTATTTCAAAATTTTATATTTTCGCTAAATTTCACTATTTAACTTTTAACTGGAATCTCATAAGACTCCCAATATTTTATGAGTGATTCTAAATATAGTTTTACTTCAATTCTAGTAAAAACTATCCATTAGAACTCAACATTCAAATTCACATAATATTTCATATTATTATTTACTTAAAACACGATTTCAAAACGTGTATGTTACATCTACTATAGTTTTTAGCGGATAACCCCAATTTAGGTAATAGTACATCCTAATATGGGACAACCATACTTGTTCAATCTATCTCTCTCAACTTGGATGTCGTGAGGTGGACCTTGGAAAGTTTTAACATACTCGCTGGCACCTTTGACAAGATAGTTGGCTTTTTGACGTTTTGACCAAGTATGACTTTAGGTCAAACTTTAGGGTTTTGGGTGTAGACTGAGGTTTTACCTTTATTTGGCGTTTAGGTGGTTTGTGAGACTGATATGTGCGAGTATTCGTGTGTGCAGCAGTGATTCTTCAATCTCCTATTCAGGTGACTTTCTCACTATAATGTGTGTTACATTGTATATCCTTTGTATGTTAGGATATATGTATTATTAGGGTACGAGTATGCTAGCATACTAGTAGTTTTTGTTATGTATGTGATTGATTGATTGTATGATACTATTATGTATCATGATTTGGATGGGTATTGGCAGTATTGGTTTCTCGCTAGGTTTATGCGTAGGGGTTATACATAGTTTAAATGAGATAGCCTGAGAAGTCTGGTTTAAGCCTTATTGCATGGTTCTTGTTTGATTTATTGCTCTCGGGTAAGATCATTTGTTCGAATGTATATCTTATTTCTGACTACATATGATTATGTATTCATGAGTTGACCTGTCAATATTAGTAATAGCCTTGGTACGGTTGTGGACGGTTGAGAGTCATGGTTGTACGATAGTTGGGAGCTGGTAGCTAAGTGTCGGTAGATGTATAAGGATAGGGCGCGTATGGTGTGTGTGTGTATATATATATATATATATATATATATATATATATATATATATATATATATATATGTTCAGGTTCATTTGAGATCATGCTAATTATGTAAAACCATGAGATCAAATCTAAAAATAATTTTAAAATACAAAATAAAAGGAAAAATTCAAAAATTCTTTTTTTAATTATTATTTTCGGAACCTTATTTAACTAAAAAAAATTACTTTTTTTTTAAATACGTGAAATATTCTAATAGAATATTACACTTTACATATTCTAATATGATTTTTATAATGTTTAGAATATCCTACTAGATTTGTCAAATACGTAGAATCGAAAATTTTCAATTATTTTGCATTTTAAAAATGTTTTTGTTTTATCTAATAAATTAGTGGCTAGGATTGCGTCTTACGGTCTCACAAAATTAGGTCGTGTATAAATATATATATATATATATATATATATATATATATATATATATGTGTGTGTGTGTGTGTGTGTGTGTGTGTGTATGTGTGTGTTTATGCTTCAAAGGATTATCGGGGAACTCGCTAAGCTTTATACTTATGTTGTTAAGTTAAAAATGTTTTCAGGTTGTTCGAGGAAAGGGTGCAACATTACTGTACATTCACATCGAAGATTTATTGCTATTGACTTTTGTTGGTTTTTATAAAGCAACTTTTTTCAAACTTATATTTTTGTGACAAAAGGGATATAATTTGTCTTTTAGGAACATACTTGAATATTTAATTTGGTTTTTAAATGAAAATCTTAGTTTGAAATTTGGTACGTTACATTCGATAACCAATTTAACAAGCCTAATTTTGGCCACCATTTGTTTGATAGAGTTGGTAGGATTTATGACATGAACTTTAACAATCATTTAAAGTCTACCATGATCGCAAATCCAAAACTTGATCTAGAATCTGGCAAGCTTTCATCGTTAAGCTTTGATACCACCAAAAACCTTACCTTGGATATTCTTTATTTTCATCAGACGAGACGAGAAGAAATCAAAAGCCGATATTTCCACCATGTGAAGTTTTTTTTTTTCGGCGAAGCATGTACAGCCCGCGTCCACACAAAGGTTTTTTTGGTTTTTAATTAAAATAATTACAAACTTTTCAAAAAATTTAAAGTTAAGTACTTAAAGACATATTTGAAATTTCAAAGCGGATATAAACTAAAACAAAAAATGACAATTGTACACAACAATATTTAAAATTAAATCATTTATGTATTACCATAGATTTCTAGATCAAAATCACAAAATAAAATTCATGTATTAACATACATTTTTAGATGAAACCCACAAAATAAAATTAATGTATTAACATATATTTTTAGAGCAAAACCATAAATTAGAAAGAAAAAAAAAAAAAAAATCGAGTTTCTCTACGAGTGTTGTTGACAGTTTTATTTTACCAAATGGCTTCTAGTCCAACGATATTTTGTGTTTACATCATTTTTTGAGATTGGAAGTTTAAATTTGTTGTAGACATAGATAAAATTAAGTGTTAGATTATGAATATATTATATTTATCGGTACAAAAATAATAATAAAAAAAACATAACGTTTAAGTCTAAAAAAAAAGTTAAACTCTTCGATATTAATACATTTTCGTTTATTAAAAAAAAAAAAAAAAAAAAAAAAAAAAAAAAAAGTTAACCGCATCTGGCTCTATGAAAAGAAATTAAGTTGTTACAGATAGAGTTTGGTCTATAAAACAAGAGTGAGTAGGCGTCTGTCTCTCTCTCCAGGAGTTTAGTTGCTTTCTTTTATTTTCTGTCTGTCTTACATCAGCATCACCAGAGTGAGAGTGAGTGTGAGTGACCAAAAGGATTGAGAATGAAATCAAGAAAAGATCGTGATCTTTTCTTCTTCTTTTTACCTCTTTCATAATTATCCCTCTTCTCTTTCTACCAAATTCCCAATTCCTCAAAATGGGATTCTTTCAAACTCCATCTGCTCTCTTCATCTTTTTCCTCATTTTAACCTCCACCCACTCACGATTTTTACCTCAAGGTTTCTTCCTCATCTCTCTCTCTCTCTCTCTCTCTCTCTCTCTCTCTCTCTATATATATATATATATATATATATATATATATATATATATATATATATATATAATTGACTTTTGGTTTTCTTTCTTACAATGTGATTGCAGGAAGATCGAATTCGAAGCTGATAAACAACGATGACCAGGTGAGACTTCAAATAAAGCATGGTTGACATCTGTTTTGCTGGTTGCTGTCTTGCAACTTAATTCTTTATTCAATCTGCAAAGTTAGGTTTGAAATTGATGTAAAATCTAAACATGATGTTCATCACTTTGTATTAATTAGTATAAATTTTATTTTAGTTAAGGGGAATTTTGTACAAGATTACATCTAGCATCAAAATTTTAAAGGTTGAAAGTTAATATATTTTTTGTCAAAAGTCAAAGCCCTATACTTGTAACTCTTGATCTTGGATTAATAACTAAAACAGATAAGAAAACTATATAAGGGTTTTGTTTAGGACTTCAACAATTTGTAAACTCCTTAAGTTGTAGTCAAATGATTTTACCCTGTTTTAATATGAAATTTGAAGTAGAAAGTTTGCACAATGGACCACAAAAGTGAAAAGAATTTTATAATTCCATTGTCCTTGTTGAATGGATTACTTTTGAGATGTATATTGTTGCCCATGTATGTTTTAGCATTAAACACTTGGTATAACTTGCAAATTATGCCATTTGTCCTCAAAAGTCAAAAGAACCATTTTTATTCTTAATTTAGGATGCATACAATTACTTACACTTTAAGCTTTCCCTTAATAATACTTGATAGCCGTTAGCAAGTTTCTCTGTCAATATTGAAGTTGAAAATTATGCTATTTGACCTCCAAAATAACAATAATAATAAAAGCATCTTTTTATTCTTACTTTCTAATGGTTGACGTGAAAAAGTCAAAGAACAACCTAATTTGTGTGATTGAATTTGATGCAGATGGAAAGAAGTAGCCTTTTGATTGGATCAAGACCACCGAGATGTGAGAAGAGTTATTGTAGTGATTGTGGTCATTGTGTCGCAGTTCAAGTCCCAATTGTACCTAGATTCATTAGAACAACTCAAGAAGCATTGGGTACAACCCCTAAAAGCATAGTTAATTCAAGAGGGGACGATATCTCCAACTACAAACCCATGTGTTGGAAATGCAAATGTGGTGATTTCATGTTCAATCCTTGATCTTTATGTATACATAAACATCATATTTTCTTTAAAAATGTTCATAATTAATGTTATTTTTCTATTTATCATTGTCTATTTTTTCTATCTATTTTAGTACGTATTTAAAATTGTGATATTTATCATATTTAATTAATTTAATAAAATTTTATTATATTTATCATATCTATCTAAAAATAATAGAAAGATGAGTAACAAGAATAAATAAAATGGTATTTAATTTCTCTTAAATAAAATATAAAAAATAACCACATACTTAGGCTAAGGGTGGTCATGTTTTTTCTGTTAATGGTAAAAGGCGCCACGCGTCATGTAGGCTTTTATACTTTTCATATTTTTACATACGAAGTGTTGTGTCGTGTCTATGAGTTTTTTTAATTTCGTTTTAGAAAAATATTATTTATTTTAAACCATACTAAAATTTAAAATAACATAAACTTAAAAATTACAATTTAAAAATCCTTAAAAAACATGAAAATTAAATTTACATTGAAAACCTAAAATATAAAAATAAAACATGACGTAAAAATTTAAAAACCTAGAAAAAAAAAGCATCGAATTTTCAATTGCGTTTCGTTAGATTATATTTTTTCTTGAATCGATGCTTTCATAATTCTTGTCACTTATTGATCTTCGGGGTCGAGATGTCTTACGCCTTGCATTAACAACGTATACTCAGTGAGTCGGACGGTTTCAGTCATATATCTCTCCAAAGTTGAATTCAGTTGTGCTATTTGTTTCATCATTTCTTCTGATATGATTGACCGCTCGGTTCCGACTAAAGAATTTGAAGATGTCGTTTTCCCTTTCCTTTTACTCGAGCTTTTGTTTTGTCTCTTCCTAGTGGAGGAGGAGGCGGACGTATTTCTTCAATGTCGTTATCATCATTAAGATTAACACCTACGTGACCATCCGATGAGACTTGTTGCGAGCTCGAATATGAAGATGTCTGACTTCTTTTTGGCGGATTTGCAATTTCTTAATGTGTTGCATGTTCCCTCCACTTAATGCTTCTTTTGACAATTTCCCGCACATGAATAAACTTAAAAGGCTTTTGCATATCATCTTGGAATGTAGTGTGTGTATTTTTCAATAAACTCGCTTCACTTTCTCCGCCAATCCATTATTTTTCAAAGTTTGTGTAAATTTCATTCCAATGTGTGGCAACTTTGTTCATAAGATTCCATTTGGAGTCACATTTATCGGAGGTCCAATAATCTAGATTTCAACCAATTCCCCTACAAAAGCGCTCTGTGATACGTAACCAAAACTGATCACGATTTTGACAATTTCCCATGCCACCATCTTCAGATATGTCGACCTATGCCCTTGCTAACTCAACTTCTTCTTTTTGTGTCCATCTTCTTGGATCAGCATTCCCTTTCTTTTGCTGTTGAGGTTGTTGTTGTTGTTCTTCGTGTTCGGACTAATAAAAAAAATTGATTGAAAGTGTGAATGGTGGTTGGGATGGAAATCGGGTTTGAGATGGTTGAGTTTGAGGTTGAGATTGAAAATGGAATTGTGAATAATAGCTAGAAACACCATCCGTTTGTGACTGGTAATGTGGTGGTAATGACGGATCGTAAACAAAATGTGTGAAAGGGTTGTTAACATTTTGGTTTGGAGCAATTGTTTGAAAGAGTTTGGATTGTTGGAAGTACACATTTTCAAAGAAAAAAAATTGTTGTTGAGAGTGTATAGTGTGGTGATTTATTGGAAATTTGATTTGTATATATATTAGATATAAAAAAATGAAATTTGCCAAACTGTCCATTGCCGACCGTTTGGCAACGTTCCAAACACAAAATGCCCACAAAAATTAAAAACTCACTAACTGTACAAGGCCACTAAAGGTACTTTACCGGGGGTGAAATCCCCTTCACAACGCGGTGTTCACCGGCGATGAAATGGTGACATGTCGGATACCACCCGTATTTCCTTTACCGCACCATTTTCTCTTAGAAATATGGAAGAAAAAAATTAGATGATACAAGTTTTATGAAATTGAGATTTAAGATCAAGGGAGTGGCTAGGGACTTGCATCCACCTCACTATACTCGCCAAAACCATTTCCATCAAAGTCACGAGAAGCATCGCCCAAGAAAGCCTCGCCACCCCCCTGTAGTGAGAGGAGAGAGAAAGAGAAATGAAGATAACATGATTGTGATTGGGTAGTGTCATTTTTTATTGAAATAAAACCTATTAAAAATAGCTATCCTTTTTGGATGCTAACACTCGTGGTCGTTACGATGGATTGAAACGGGTGAAATTTGAACGTTAATTAGTCGACCGTTTGCAACGGTCAAAACTTAAATAAAAAAATTTACCTTTTTATCTTTATAGATACTAATTTTAACCCATTTTTTTAAATCTTTCTCTCATTCTCTCTATATCTTATACACATATTTTCTTCAAATTTTTAAAAATTGGATCAAAACCCAAACATCCCCCTCTATCATCAAACCTAAACACACAACCTCGCCTTTCGGATTTACGGGTTATGAAAATTATTTCAACATTTTATCGTCTCAAGGATCACCATAAATCCCATACCAAAGCGCCGCTTTCAATCTCGCTTCACCACCGTTACAATTTCTCAACTCACATTACCTTCAACAAAATCTATTAGGTCAAAAACCCAAATTTACAACAAAATATTTTCCCTACTTTTGCTTCGATGCAACAAACAACCAACCAACCACCACCTACAACACAACCATCGGTTGAAGTGGAAGCGGGAGGTAGTAGGAGAGGGAAAGGGAAAGGAAAATCGAAAGGGAAATCGATAGCAATTGAAACAAAAAGTGCAGACGTTCCACAATAGTGGACACTGGATGAGGAATATACTTTAACGGTGGCTTGGTGTACTACTTCAAAAGACGAACTCCGCGGAAATGAAATGAAGAAATGAGCTTATTAGGGGGGGGGGGGGGAGTGCGCGACAAGTCTCATGCTATTTTGAAGAAAATTTTGTATTGCAACAATGACATGTTGAGCAGCAAATGGAGTCAAATAACTAACCGGTGCAACAAATTCAACGGTATTTACAACCGGCTTGAGGCACAGCAGCAAAGCAAAACCAACAACTTCGATTTGTTCAAATCTGCAAAATGTAACGTCCATAAAATTCATGCCAAATTTAAACTTTTAAAAACATTTCAAATACCAAGAGTAATTACAAGTTTGTTTTCAAAATAGTTTAAGCATAAAAGAATCTCTATAATCAAATCAGAGTATCCACATAATCAAATCATGAAAATATGAGGAGGTGTATAATCACGCCTTCGCCTTCCCACAATCATCAGAAGTACCTGACATATAATAAAAAACTGTAAGCCCGAAGCTTAGTGAGTTTCCCCAAAATACCAATGTCATACAAATATAACCATATCATATAACAAATACAGAACAACATGCATAATTAGCCTTCAACCTGACTAGACCGCCTAGCAGGCCTTCAGTCTATCTGGACTGCTCTCCGAGCCTTCAGCACGTCTGGAACGCCTCTCAGGGCATTCAGCCAATTCGGACTGCCCATCGGGCCTTTGGTCTGACTAGCATACCCTCCTGGGTTTGTAGTCTATACGGACCGCCTTGGGTATGTTGTCCTACAACACAAAACAAGACCACCTCAACCCAACCCCCAATCAAACAAATATGTGCACATAAATATCATACGCTAGCTCATATCATATATGTGACATCCCCATTTTCACGGCCAGAAAAGACCATTTTGTTTATGCTTTATAAAAATCAGAGTACCTCTTTTAATAAAAATGTTGCGGAATTTGTTCCCAGAAAAACATGATAATTGCGTTATCAAAGCATTTCTAAAGAAATGTATTTTTTTATTCACTTTTAAAACATTTGGGATGTCATTGTCAATACACAAACATAAGCATAAACAGAACTTACATTCATTTACACTAGTGATCTACATCTCTTTTAAATCTCTCAGTGTAATGTAACTTTATATCGACACCTGTGATATAAATAAACTAAGTGGGTCAGGTTGGGAAACTTGGTGAGTACATAGAGTTTTCAACCCACAATAATATAATTATTATATTTAAACATCAAACAATCAACCCAATTACTCATTCCCATTATCTTCTTAAGGATTTACCTTAAGGATCAGCTAACCCTTGTTTATTCATTCCTAAGGATCATCCTAAGGAAACAACATGAAGACCATTGTTGCCAATGACACAGTGATCAAGCGCAGCTGCTAATATTATAGTGTAGGCGCAACTGCCAGAATTGGGACATTTTCTATTAGGCGCTTCTGCCGGTATTGACCTTTAAACGCTACTGTCATGGTCATAAGGCTCCCTATTAGGCGCAGCCGCCGATACTGTCTTTAGAGCGCAGCTGCTAGGATGTTTACCGTAGATCTAAAACATCTACGGGTTGTGGCGTGGCTGTCAATGCTCATCTATAGGGTACTAGGTTCATTGTTGCCAATGTTTACCTATAGGGCACTAGGTCCATACCACTAATGTTCCTCTATTTCAGCTTTTATCCCTCATCATTCATCTACCCATGTTTTACCCAACATATTTTGTAGATATAAAATACTTTATACAGTTTACATCATTTAAAACATGTATAAAAATCTTTCACCAGCATAGACAGCAAGTATTCAGACAATATGCACACATAGCACGTAATTTATATTAAAATACTTCATATCTATGTGTAAGATGAAAGTAAATATGCACTCACCTTAGTAGCGGGAGTAGATAGAATCTAAAAACGGTCAACGGCTCGTGATCGTCGGGCTCGGGACGCAGAACGGCTTCATAAAACGAGAGAGAAGGAAGATTTGGTGTAAGAAGTGAATGAGGTCGAACTTGCTATTTATAGGTTGATTTCATCCCATTCACTTCGTGAGAAGTCATTGCTCATATCGTGAGCCATGGATGAATCACCTTGTAGCTTCGACATCTGCGTTCTAGGCTTGAATAGTGTCTGTTTGACTCCTCACGTCGTGAGAATTCATTACTCACGTCGTGAGCTTTTGAGTTATCATTCCCGTAGAC